GTGCAGGTAGCCCATTGTGTATTCCTCTCAGTGAACAGAGTGCAGGTAGCCCATTGTGTATTCCTCTCAGTGAACAGAGTGCAGGTAGCCCATTGTGTATTCCTCTCAGTGAACAGAGTGCAGGTAGCCCATTGTGTATTCCTCTCAGTGAACAGAGTGCAGGTAGCCCATTGTGTATTCCTCTCAGTGAACAGAGTGCAGGTAGCCCATTGTGTATTCCTCTCAGTGAACAGAGTGCAGGTAGCCCATTGTGTATTCCTCGCAGTGAAGAGAGTGCAGGTAGCCCATTGTGTATTCCTCGCAGTGAACAGAGTGCAGGTAGCCCATTGTGTATTCCTCGCAGTGAACAGAGTACAGGTAGCCCATTGTGTAGTTTCCACTAAAAGACAACTTATAACCATTTAGTTTGTTACAACTAACTACATTTGAATGTATCTAAGACCGATTACAGCACCTCTGTAGTAAACGAACGTATGAATATATGAATGTTGGCCCTCTAGGTTTCAATTTTTACTTTTTATTAACAACAAAGCTATATAATGAACTATTTTTCTCATCTCGCCAGGAGTATCGAAACCCGATTTGTTTTAGCATTATAAACCCTCGTAGTTACCGCCGAGCCACCAGGGTGCGCTTTGCAGTTTAGAGCTCTCACACTTAAATCGAATATGAAGTAGAGTAAATAGATCGCACCACTGTGTAGCATTAAGTAGCTATTTTCGGAAGTATACACTGCCAGCTAGTTAAAGGTATTCTATTTTTAACTCCACCCCCTCCCCTCCGAGAGTGGGGGAAAAGCTTACCTTAGGGTGGTGGATAAGATAAATACAGATAATTTTACTTTCACAGAAGTGTTAACGCTAGATGTCACCACCATTTATTTGCCAGTCTCTCTGTCTGTGCCCCCGAGTACTGATTCTGATACAACTTTCTTTTTTTTTTACTTGCATCCTCCTCAGTCTTTTTTTTTAACCCGTAAATAAGTGAGTTTATATTTAACTAGTTTGGTCTTCTGTCGTGGATAAAATTAACTAGTTTGGTCTTCTGTCGTGGATAAAATTAACTAGTTTGGTCTTCTGTCGTGGATAAAAATCACATTTGATTTTGATGTATGGTAGGAGGGCTTTCTTTAACGTACGTTTACAAGTTACCGTGTCTTCGTCAAGATAAAACTAAAAGAAAGAGGCCTTAGAACCTTCTTCTTAGAGGATGTTTTTGTGATCTACTTTTAAAGTTAGATATTGTTGCGTCAGCGAGGTCACGTGACTAGTGTCACGCCACCAATTTTCTAGAAATATCCTGTTCCTTCGTGAATGCCCTAGCATTTACTAGATATATGTTTGTCTGGTATATATATAAGACGCTCACAACGTGACGGAACAATGTGTGTAGGTAGTGAGTAATTGAACTGCAGTCAGAAAGTATTGTTGAAGTTCGTTGTTATAGCGTTTGTTATAGAGCGACTGTTCAAAATAAGTGTATCGGTAAAGTTATATTCGGAAAGAATAAACCAGTTTTATTAAGAAAGGACTTGTGTCGCTAAAGTTTCGTCGGAACGAAGTTACGGAAAATCAACTAACGAACGGAGACGTAACAATATCATGTCTTCTTTAAGATAAAAGGAAGATGTCTTCCAAGAAGAGGCCTTAGAACCTTCTTCTTAGAGGATGTTTTTGTGATCCACTTTTAATATTAGATATCATGTCTTCTTCAAGATAAAAGGAAGATGTCTTCCAAGAAGAGGCCTTAGAACCTTCTTCTTAGAGGATGTTTTTGTGATCCACTTTTAATATTAGATATCATGTCTTCTTCAAGATAAAAGGAAGATGTCTTCCAAGAAGAGGCCTTAGAACCTTCTCCCAGTATTTTTTTATATCATGGTTATA